ATTTGCAAAAACAGTTGGCAGGCCAGACTTGACCCAGAGGCCATAATTTGCTGACTGTTCTGCTCTAGAACAGTAAATACAGGAGTAGAGACATAATATTTGATAGAGTGGGGCAGAGAAAATAGTGAACTCAGTATTATACATTCTAAGTTTCCTGTGAACTGTAGAACATTCTGGGGTATTTTTTTTTCCCCCACAGGCAGTTAGTCTTTGGGCCTGGAGCCTGGGAAAAAGTCCAGTTTAGAGGCTGATTGAAGAGTCATTCATGTGGAAGTTTGCAGTGGATGCTTTTGTGGAGCTCTGGAGGCAGAGCCATCCGGGAAATGGATAAATGGATTAGAGTGAAGAGGGCCAAATACTGAACTCATGGGTACCAAGGATTAAAGAAGGAGCTGAAGGCTGAGAGAAGAAATAACCAGAAACGTATAAGGCCTATCCATAAAGGATGGCCATGACCTGAAAGAAAAAATAAGTTTCTAAAAGTACAACATGGTCCTTAGTATAAAGTAGGCCAGGTTAACAAGAGCTAGAAAGTATCCATTGCCAATAAAAGTAAGGATGCCACTGGTGACCAAATTATAAGAATTTTGGTAGAATGGCACCCTGGCTATTACTTATTTTTATTTTTTAATATAATTTTATTGTTGTTTTGATTAAGGTGTTTTACAGAGGATTACGATTTCATAAATCAGGTAATGAGTACATTTGTATTTTTGGACAATGTCACCACTAATTTCGCCTTCCCCCAGCCGGCTGTTTATTTTTAAGTTATTACCATGTTAGTGGGAGAGACATAGTTTACAACGTTGTTCTGGGAAAGGTATTGATGGAGTTGAAGAGAACTATCAAAAGCTAGATGCTAATTCTTGTAATCCTAGCTACTCAGGAGGCTGAGATCTGAGAATCATGGTTCAAAGCCAGCCTGGGCAGAAAAGTGGTTCAAGTGATAGAGCATTGGTCTTGAGTGAAAAGTTAAGGGAGCATACCCAGGCCCTGAGTTCAAGTCCTAGTACAGGCACAAAAAGGAAAAGGAAGAAAGGAAGGGAGAGAGAGAGAGAGAGAGAGAGAAAGAGAGCGCGAATGAGCGAGCGAGCAAGTGTACATGCTGGCATGCATGGGTGAAGTAGAAGGTAGAAAAGGGCTTTGGAAGAAATGACTGGGAGTGCCTGGGCACTCAAGAAATCACTCTGAAGCGCAGCTAATTTATTTATTTAATTTTCTCTCCTTTGTCTTTAGACTAAACTGGAGACCCTTCTGCTGAGCACAGACTGTGTTCTCAAACAAGAACACCCACTGCCTAATGAGAGTGCCTTGATGGGAGACACATTGACAGCAGTGGCAGATGAAGGTTTAAGATGCTGGGATTTGGGGGTGGGAAGGCTGTGAACCCTGCTCCTGATATCATCAGCTGGTGAAGGTGTCCACCATTAGAATCCTCTGTCTCCTCCAGTTTTGATTTTGGTTCTGACTGGGTCACTGGCAGGGTCCCTCACTCATAGAGCTTGTTTTTTGTTTGTTTGTTTTATTTTAGAGCCAGAATCAGCTCCTGTACCTCTGGTTGGAAGTGACACAAGTGCTTTCACCCGAGTAGCATCTATGGTTTCCCTTCAGCCTACAGGTTAGGATGGGCTCCAGGGACCCTGCCCCATTTCTAGAAAATGTGGTAATGATAAGAAAAGATAAAAGCAGTGAGAAGTGCTTTGCTCTAAAAACCTCAATTCTACTTGGGCTCATTTTATTTCTGCCTTTTGGGATCTGTAATGTTCTGGATATTCAAATGCTACGGGTGGGGAACACAAGAGTTATGGAAATGATGGTTATACACTCCTTCCTTCCTTCCAGGTTGAAGGTCTGTACCTCTATCTAGAACTTTCTCTTTCAGAGACACCTGACCTAGAGAGTAGCCTAGAAAAAATGAGCACTACCCTTCTTGAACTTGAGAGCCTATGTTCACTGCTGCAAGAATCCAAAGAAGAAGCCATTGGATTTCTGCAGCAAAAAATGTGAGTAAGGTAGAGTTTTAATGTTCAGGGTTGAGTAAGAGAGTCCTTTATTCAAAAGGCTTGACTGGTCTCTGAAGACAAGACAGATACAGAATTCTTCCTTCTTCTAGTTATCATCTGCAGGATAGGCTTCAGGACCAGGAAGAACAGCATCAGGAAGTCCAGAAGGCCAAGGAAGCAGACATAGAGAAGCTGAACCAGGCCTTGTGCTTGCGCTACAAGGTAGAGGAGGGGCCTAGAAGTGGGGCGATGAAGAACTGGGGCAGCTCTATTGGTCCACTGGGAGCCATTGTCTCTCTGGGAATCTGGGTGGTAGGGATTTTCCAACCACTGCCCTAGTTTTGCCCTTCCTGGGGTCAGATATTTCACATATTGGGAATCAGTTCTGGGCTGGCCTGTGTTCCCAGGCAGAACTAGGAGAGAAGTTAGGAACGGTCTCAACATTGAGATGTACCTTGTTTGACTTGGCCCTGAGGAAGAATTGGAATGATAACAAGTGGTCCTACCAGGGCTAAGCATGAGTGGGGGAGTTCTCTTCTACTTCTGGTAAGAGCTACAAAGAAACCAGCTCTCCCTCAATGTTTTCTTCCATCCCTTTCTCTCACAGAATGAAAAGGAGCTCCAGGAAGTGATACAGAAGCAGAATGAGAAGATCCTAGAACAGATAGACAAGAGTGGCGAGCTCATAGTATGTTCCCATGATGCCCATCCTTTTTCCTTCTGTGCCTTTCATAGCCAGCTCTCAAACATGAGGACTGGATACCCTACTCTTCCTTTATTTACCACAGGTGGTAAGAAGGCTATTGGATATCTCTGTTCTTATCCTCAGAGCCTCAGAGAGGAGGTGACCCAGCTTACCCGCTTACTTCGACATGCAGAGACAGAGGCTAAAGTGCTGCAGGAGACCCTGGCAGGCCAGCTGGACCCTACCTGTCAGTCCATGGTCACTAACTGGATCCAAGAGAAAGTTTGTCTCTCACAGGAGGTGACTCAAAGTTAACAGAGGAGCTGGGCAACTGGTGTGTAGGGGGGAACCCAACTGTGCCTCTATTAATATGAACATATCTATAGGTAGACAAGCTGAGGCTGATGTTCCTGGAGATGAAAAACGAGAAAGCAAACCTTGTGGTCAAGTACCAGAGCCATGTAAGGATTTCCATGCTCTGTTGGGCCATTTCCTACTACCATAAGCAAGCCTCTGTCCTACCAAACTGTGCTGACCTTTTAAGAATGGAATTTATGAGGGCTGGGAAGGTGGCTCAGTGGTTGTCTCGTATGCATGAGACTCTGGGTTCGATTCCTCAGCACCACATAAGCAGAAAAAGCCTGAAGTGGTGCTGTGGCTCAAGTAGTAGAGTGTTAGCCTTGAGCTGAAGAACTAAGGGACAGTACCCAGGCCCAGAGTTCAAGCCCCAAGACCAGCAAAAAAAAAAAAGGGAATGGGACTTATGAAACTTATGTGTTTTCTAGCGGAATATCCTAGAGGAGAACCTTCGACGCTCTGACACAGAGTTAAAGAAACTAGATGACATTGTCCAGCATATTTATGAGGTAAAGGATAGCGGGGAGGTGACCGAAGGAAGGCACCTTGCCCTAGATGTCCCTACCTGTGCTGAGAAGTGGGCCTGACTCCCAACTGCAGGCTTCTCTGTGGCTTCCATTTTTACCCCTCTTAGTGTGTGTCCCTGGGGCTGGGAGCTTTGTGTGCTTTATTTAGGCTTGCTTTTTCTTCCCTTCACAGACTTTACTGTCCATCCCAGAGGTGGTGAGGAGTTGCAAGGAGCTACAAGGGCTGCTAGAGTTTCTAAGCTAAGAAACTGAAAATAGCTGGCCATGGTAGTGGACATCTATAGTTTCAGCTACTCCAGAGGCTGAGGCAGGAGTATTGCTTGAGTCCAGGAGTTCAAGACCAGCATGGACATCATAACAAAGAGACTGCAAGTTGGGTTTTGCTTAGTTCTTATTTACCTACAGTACCTGCTTACCTCAACATTAGGATTGTTGGCATAAAGTCAACTGTGTGTAATGTTATTTAAATAAAGTATATTTAATGCATTTCTTCAAGCTCACTGAATCTTTTATCCCCCTACTAGAGGTGAGGAGTGGGAAAAGGTAGGTGAGGTCAGAAGAGTCAACTTGGCCTCCTTGGCCTGGGAACCCTTCTTTTTGTATTTTTTATTTTTTCTGTCGGTCATGGGGCTTGAACTCTGGGGCTGGGGGTTGTCCCTGAGCTCTTCAGCTCAAGGCTAGCACTCTACCACTTGAGCCGCAGCACTACTTCCGGTTTTCTAGTGATTTATTTGAGGTAAGAGTCTCACGGACTTTTCTGCCTGGGCTGGCTTTGAACCGTGATCCTCAGATCTCAGCCTCCTGAGTAGCTAGGATTACAGGTGTGAGCCACCAGCGCCCAGCAAGGTCACCCTTCATATATCCCTCTCTACTTCCTGCTACATCCTGAACCAGAGCTGTCTGCCCTTCCTCCCTTTACTTGTTTCCCCAAATATTCCGGGCACTGGACTGCCTGTTCCCTGGCTGGTGGCCTGGGGCAGGGGACGAGGAGGGGGGCCGGACAGAAAAGTCTCTATTCTCTAACTTTCTCCATCCTTCTTAAGGCGTAGGCTCTGGTAAATTAATATGGGGCTGATGATAAAGAAGCTCAGTTCATTACTCCATGCTTTGAACTTCAGCACCATTGGGGCATCTGCCACATCGTTTTTACCTGCTGTTTAGGTAATTCCTCCACCAGACCAGGCTGTATGCCCTGCATGTGGCAAAGGCGATTGTGGTAGAGACAAACGTTGGGCCTCTGGAGATCTGATGGCAAGGCTCCAGGAAGGGGGGGGCAGAGGAACAGTCCCTAATAGGCCTGAGGTCCTGGCAGAGAGTCACTCCACCTCACTGTCCCGCCTCTGAGGGCGTGGCCTTACCCCAGACCAGTCCTGGGAAGGGGCGGGGCCACGGTGAGGCCCTTCTAGCCACGCCCCCCATGGAGTCACGTAGCTCTGCGGCAGCCGCAGCCTCATTTACCCTGGGCCAGGGCTGAGCTGCTGCGGCTGCTCAAACCTGATCCTGAGCTGCGCTTGCCATTCACTGCTGCTGGTAACTGGCTGCCCACAGGTAAGGCCCCAGAGCAAGGCATCTCAGCTTCTTCTTTTGACTCTCGCCCTGCCACCCTTGCCCTGTTTCCTTGAACATCCCTTTTCTGCTTTCTCATAACATCCTCTCTCCTTTCTGTCACTTGAAAAAGCCCATGGCTTACTCTCTCCCACTCTACCCCCTCCTCCTAATTCTCCAGACTGGATCTCAGCTTTCCCAATCCCCCAACTTAATCTACCTCCTGGATATTTCCTTGGTGTCCATCTTTCCTACCCAGGCCATTTTAATCTCAGCCTGTTTTCTGTGCTTTCTAGACAACTTCCAGCTCTTGCCATCTCTGTCTTCAGGTCCTCAGGTCCCTTCCTCTGACTGGCTAGTTTGTATCACCGCCACTATCCCTTGCTCTCTCCCCATTCATTTCAACCTTGAATCTCTGTTCCTGACTCCTCCACTGGGTATCTGAGCTGTGGGGAGTCTAAGCTTTTCTTATTTTCCACGTCTTCTTGGAAGTGTTTCTGGGCATCAGAGATGAACTGGTGCAATCCCTTTCCCTAATCTTCCCATCTAACTGGCACTCTTTCCCTTCCACATTTTATAGCCTCACTGGGGTGATCCCCCAACACAAGGGTGGGGAGTAGGCAGTAAGCAGCCAGGTTTACAGTATTAAGAAGAAAAGCTTATCAAAGCTTACAGGTAGTGCCTGTATTTTTGTTTTTAATTGCCAGTCCTGAGGCTTGAATTCAGGGCCTGAGCACTGTCCCTGAACCTCTTTTGCTCAAGATTAGCACTCTACTACTTGAGCCACAGTCCCACCTGTGGCTTTTTCTGTTTTATGTGGTTCTGAGAAATCGAACCCAGGGCTTCATGCATGCTAAGCACTCTACCACTAAGTCACAGTACCAGCTCGGTATTGCTCATATTTGTGTTTCCTTAACTTGCCCCCTTTGTCCCGAGCTTTTCCTTTAGAAGCTAGATGAAGAGACAATGAATCACAAGTACTTTTGCCTCATTTTGAAGCCTCGGAAATAAGTGCATTTTTCCTAGGGGACCTGTTGAAGAAGCTGGAAATGCCAGGATTTATGCCTGGCATTGAAATTCAGTGCAGTGAAAGAAAAGTTGGCATCCTCAATTGGATAGCAGTTTTATAGGAAGACCTGTAGCTTCAAGACTGCCATCTCCCTGACCCCTGTTCAGCATCTTTCCTAAGCCTGGGAAGGGTGCCCACTAGGGACAAAAGGAGTTATGGGAAATGAGGCCCTAAGCCTGCTAGTTGTCAGTGAGATTGGTGCCACTTTGTTGCCCAGGACCCATGCCAAGGGCTTCTGCTCTACTTCCAGCCTCATGGCAGGGGGGTGGGAGAAGATTTAGCCTGTGTGGCCAGGGGAGGAAGAAGAAGAAGAGTTAGTGGGTGGGATCTAACTTTCATATTGTATCTTCATTCCAGAAAGCTGTCACCATGCCCCACTCATATCCAGCCCTTTCTGCTGAGCAGAAGAAAGAGTTGTGTGACATTGCCCTTCGGATTGTGGCCCCAGGCAAAGGCATTTTGGCTGCAGATGAGTCTGTAGGTAGGTGGGGTCCTATTATGAGGTGTGTGTGTGTGTGTGTGTGTGTGTGTGTGTAGTAAGCAGTGGCCAGAGTCTTGGCGAGGAAACAAGTCTTTCCCTACTTTGTTTGCCTCTAGGCAGCATGGCCAAGAGGCTGAGCCAAATTGGGGTGGAGAACACGGAGGAGAACCGCAGGCAATACCGCCAGGTCTTGTTCAGCGCTGATGACCGTGTGAAGAAGTGCATTGGAGGGGTCATCTTCTTCCATGAAACTCTCTACCAGAAAGATGACGACGGTGTCCCTTTTGTCCGGACCATCCAGGATAAGGGCATTGTCGTGGGCATCAAGGTGTAGCCTTGGCTCTTACTAGCAGCTTGGTATAGAAATGGGTGTGTGTAGGAGAGGTGACAAAGAGATTCTCTGTTTCTCCTGCAGGTTGACAAGGGTGTCGTGCCTCTTGCTGGGACTAATGGAGAAACTACCACTCAAGGTATGTGGTGGGTGGGCTTCTGTACCACATGGTGTTAGAGTATTTGGTACTGACAAGAGAAGGGCAGGGTGATGAGGCTGGCACTATGCTTTCAGGGCTAGATGGGCTCTCAGAACGCTGTGCCCAGTACAAGAAGGATGGTGCCGACTTTGCCAAATGGCGCTGTGTGCTGAAAATCAGTGAGCGTACACCCTCAGCACTGGCCATTCTGGAGAATGCCAATGTGCTGGCCCGCTATGCCAGCATCTGTCAACAGGTGTGTTTTGGAGGTTTGGGTGGTAGGACACGTGCCCTGTGACCTACCCTATCTGCTACCCTTCCCAAACAACTCTGCTCTTGCCCATAGAATGGCATTGTGCCTATTGTGGAGCCTGAGATCCTGCCTGATGGAGATCATGACCTCAAACGTTGCCAGTATGTTACAGAGAAGGTAAATCTGGGCACAGATACATTCTTCAGGGACAGCCTGACAGAGAGATGCCTGTATCTCATTCTCTTGGCTTAAATCCAGGAACATTCTCCCCTAACATCTTTCACAGATCCTAGGCCTGGGAAAATGAGCTTGTTCTGGACTTTCACAATCCATGCCCGCTCCCCACCTAGACAGAAGCATGGAATAGTAAGCAGTGGTCCTATGCCCTTCATAAATATCTTCTGATCTCCAGGTCCTGGCTGCCGTGTACAAGGCCCTGAGTGATCATCATGTGTACTTGGAGGGAACCCTGCTCAAGCCCAACATGGTAACTCCTGGCCATGCCTGTCCCATCAAGTATAGCCCAGAGGAGATTGCCATAGCCACCGTCACTGCCCTGCGCCGCACTGTGCCCCCAGCTGTCCCAGGTACTACCCTGCTTTCTAACCTACCCACTATTCCTAAGACTTGTCTTCTTCATGTTTCTTCTTGTGCCAGGCACCAGTAACTCACATCTATCATCCTAGCTACTCAGGAGGCTGAGATCTGAGTTTTTTTTTGCCAGTCCTAGAGCTTGAATTCAGGGCCTGGGCTCTGTTTCTGAACCTCTCTGTGTTCAAGGCTAGTGCTCTACCACTTGAGCCACCACTTTTGGCTTTTTCTGTTTATGTGGTAGTGAGGAATTGAACCCAGAGCTTCATGCATCCTAGGCAAGCACTCTACCACTAAGGCACATTCCCAACACCAAGGATGCTTTTTTTTTTTTTTAAAGTACTCATACTGGAGCTTTAACTCAGGGCCTGGGTGCTGCTGTCCCTAGGTCTCTCACTTGACCCACAGCTCACATCTCGCTTTCTGCTGATTTATTGGAGATAAGAGTCTTACATGGGGGGGGGGGCGGGAGGAGGATGGGAAGGGAAGGGATGGGAAGGGGAAACAAAGGAGGAGGCTACAATGTTTGATAAGAAATATACTCATTATCTTGCCCATGTAATTGTAACCCCTCTGTACAGTATTTTCACAATAAAAAAAAAACAAGAGTCTTACAGTCTTTCCTGCCCAGGCTGGCTTCCAAACATGATCCTCAAATCTCAGCCTCCTGAGTAGCTAGGATTACAGGCATGAGCCACTGGCACCCAGGAGTCTGTGAGATTATCTCCAGTTAACCACCAAAAAACCACCAAAAGTGCAGTTGTGGCTCAAGTGGTAGAATGCCAGCCTGGAGGGGAAAAGCTAAGGGACAACACCCAGGCCCCTGAGTTCAAGCCCCAGTACTGGCACCAAGAAAAAAAAAGAATTCTCTATGGCCTTCAAGGAATATTTACCTTGGAAAACAGAGGGTAATCAGTTTATCTTCTTCCCTGCACTCTAGGAGTAACCTTCCTGTCTGGGGGTCAGAGTGAAGAGGAGGCATCGCTCAACCTCAATGCCATCAACCGATGCCCTCTTCCTCGGCCATGGGCCCTCACCTTTTCCTATGGACGTGCCCTGCAGGCCTCTGCACTGAATGCCTGGCGAGGGCAAAGGGACAATGCTGAGGCTGCCACTGAAGAGTTCATCAAGCGGGCTGAGGTTAGGAGCTAGAGGTTGTGGTAGTGGTGGTTGGTATAGCTGGGTGGGAGAGCACTCAGGTTACAGCCTGGGCAAGGTTTGACATGTGTGGGCTGGCTCAGCCCTAATTCCTCTCCTCTTTTCTAGGTGAATGGGCTTGCTGCCCAAGGCAAGTATGAAGGCAGTGGAGAAGATGGTGGAGCAGCAGCACAGTCCCTCTACATTGCCAACCATGCATATTGAGGTGGCTTAGTTCACACCACAGCCCTTGGCCCAGCCATCTACACCCACTTTTGCCTATTAGTCACAGCTAGAGCCAAATAGCCATGCGGATCAGAGATGCCTTCATCCATTCCTTTCCACTTTCTCATTGCTGCATCTGGGACCATAGGATGGGAGAATATGGAGTCCTTCATGTCTGAGGGCAGGAGAACTTGCTAGAAGTCAGAACAGGATGTGTGGGTCTCCCCCCTGCTTCTGTCAACGCCCACAATTTCCTCATGATGATGTAGCTTCTCCTTGGGCTCTCCTTGCTGGCCTGGGGGTCAGAGGGAAGTAACATCAGCCCTGACCTATGCCTTGAGTACATACCATATAGCAAATAAAGGGTAGCAAAACATGCTACTTTGTCTGTTTGTACCCATCAAATTCCCACTTTCCCTCATCTGATCTCTGGTGATTCTGTCTTGGGGGCCTCTGCATGTAGAGGTGAGAGGATGAAGTCTGAGGTTTGCTGGGCTTCAAGTTTAAAGAGGGAGTATATACCCCCATCAGGAATGGGGCTGTGAGGAGAGCTGCACGTCTTTGGGGTTTGCCACATAGGAGGCACTTGAGAAACTCCTAAAGGCATATTTTGAGCAAGGTTCAGAGTTAACAGTATAATCCTGGTATTATAAGACTCAGCATTGCTGAGTCTTGCTGAGGCCTGACATTCCACTGGGAGGAGGTACAGCAGGAGAAGCACTGAGTTCCTGCTCAATAAAGGAAACCTCCTAAAGTCTGAGGTCTGCCAGAGGCAAGCAGGATATCTAGGATGTTGTCAAGGCCAATGACCCACTCCCATTTGGGATAAGATGGACTATAGAAGGGAGCAATTTGAGGGTCTGGTTAAGAGTAGACATGGCAAGGGAGGTCTTGTTCTCAACTTTGACCATCAGCGTGGGATATGAGGTAGATCGGGAACTTGAGTCTATCTGAATAAGCAGAAGATGAATAAGAGAATAAACTGATGTGTTCTGTGTGTACTGGAGAAGCCACCAATGCTCTACCTGATGTGGCCTGAACTTTCAACAGAAATAGTGACACATGCTTCCTATATGCTCCTGCCATGCCATATTCTAATCACTGTATTAACTCAATACTCAAATAGGTCTTATTAAGGTAGCTATTATTATCTCTATTTCAATATGAGGACAGAGGCACAGGTTATAAGTCGTGAAGCCAGGATTTGAACCCAAGTTATAAGGATTCAGTCTTTGCTCATAAATATTTAAGACTTCTATGTGAAGTATCTTGACTGTGCCAAGTTGGAAGTGAATTAAAATACAGCTTTAAATCCTGAAAACTGGAGATGGGGTGTGAGGTGAGCCTAGGATCACCTGAGCCCACAAAACTCAAGACCAGCCTGGGCAACATAACTAGATCCGGTCTCAAAAATAAACAGACCTAGGTATGGGTGGCTCATGTCTGTCATCCTAGCTACTCAGGGGGCTGAGATCATGGTTCAAAGCCACCCCAGGCAGGAAAGTCTGTGAGACTCTTATCTCCAATAAACTACCAAAAATTGGGAAGTGGAGATGTGGCTCAGATGTAGAGCACCAGACTTGAGCACACACACAGGCACACAAAGCGCCCAGGAACAGTGCCCAGGCCCCGAGTTCAAGCTCCTGACTGGTACAAACAATAAAATAAATAAAATTAGAGTAGCCTATTATTAGTATTATTATTTTGGTAATAAAAGGCACGCTCTTGCTACTTCCGTGTTTGAGGTTCGAGGAGAGAGCGTCTGGAATGAGAAACAAGGTGACCGATGACATTTGAGGGTTTCCTTGCACCAGGCTCTTTAAGATGTCAGCAAATACCTCCCCTTTTCAGTAAATATTTCTTCCCATCGTTGTCCAAGCGACTATATTGAACAGCTGCAGGGTTGGCGCTCTGTGGTTAAGAGTGTGCTTACCGGGGAAGCCCGGGATTATCTTGGTGTTCTTAATCGTACTGAGTTTTCCCCACAGTCCCAAGATTCTGCAGCCTTCCAAAACCTCAGCGATGCTCCCAGTAGCCTCCGCTCCCCTGCGTCTTTCTCCGGCGTACAACCAAAAGGTCGCTAGCGCGTGTCCCTCCTCGCTGCCGTGGTCCCGCCTTCTCGTAGCGAGGCTTCCTATTGGAGGAGGCTCAAGCAGCTCCGCCCCTTGGCAAACCTGAGTAGCCGGAAGCGAGCATGGCGGCCGCCGGGGCCGCGGGGGCCGCGGCTACGGATCTAGGTACCGTGGTCTTCGGGTGGAGTCTGTGGGTCCAGAATTACTGGGGAGCACTGCAAGGGGGTGGGAATTGAGGTGTGTGAGAGGTCCTGCACGACGCGGGTGGGTGGTGTTGGACGGGATGCCGGCAGAATGGGGCCAGGGCCCCTCTGGACGCGGGCTGAGGGTCAGTGGGGACAGGTTGCCAGGACTGGTCGGGATTCCCCGGCACGGCGCGGGCCGTCAAACCCGATTCCCGCTCTTCACTTCGTACCCTCGGGTCCCCAGAGGTGATCCGGGGCAAACGCGCCGCCCTCTTCTTCGCTGCGGTTGCCATCCCGCTGGGACTGCCGCTGTGGTGGAAGACCACGGAGACGTACCGGGCCCCTCTGCCTTATGCCGAGATCAGTGGGCTGAACGCCCTGCAGGTGAGACCTCGCCGGGGAGACCCGGGGACCGCCCACTGGGCTAGGCCGAGACCCTGCTAATTACCCTCCCTCCGCCCGCCCCACTCCCTGCAGCTACGGCTCAAGGTGCCAGTTACTGTGGTGTTTACCCGGGATTCAGTGCCTCTGGACGACCAGGAGAAGCTACCTTTCACGGTTGTGCACGAAAGAGAGATCCCTCTGAAATGTGAGTTCCTGTAGGGCTGGAGAGGAGGGGTCAGAGCTGCCTTTCCAGTGTACAGAGGTGATTGCATTGGAGGAGTATCAGCATCCCATAACCTTTCGTTTTTCTTTTCTTTTCTTTAATACTGGGATGTGAATTCCTATATGCTAGGTTACTGGTTGGTTATCTTGGATGATAGAGCTGGAGTCTAGAGAATGTTTGTGGTCAGACAGGCCTCAAACCTCAATCCTCAGATCCCAGCCTCCTGAATAGCCAGAATTGCAGGCAGGCTTGACTAAGAAAATTTAATTAATTAATTAATGGATTTGTCGGTCGTGGGGCTTGAATTCAGGACCTGGGCACTGTCCCTGAGCTTTTCTGCTCAAGGCTATGACTCTACCAATTTGAGGCACAGCTTCACTTCCAGTTTTCTGATCATTAATTGGAGATAAGAGTTTCACAACTTTCCTGTCCAGGCTAGCTTTAAACCTAGATCCTCAGATCTCAGCCTCCTGAGTAGCTAGGATTGCAATTGTGAGCCACCAGCACCTGTCTAAGGTTTAGTAATAATTATAAAGATTTAAGAATTCAATAATTTAATTAACTAATTTAATACTTATTATATTATTATTATTATTTATTTTTTTCAGTGCTGGTGTTTTGAAGTCAATGTTTGAATTCAGGCCTTGCTCCAGCTCTGCTCAGAACTGGTTTTCTACCACTTGGGCCACATTTGTAGTCTAGCTTTTTTTTCCTGGTAAATTGGAGATAAAGTCTTAAAGATTCTTCTGCTGGCTTTAAACCTTGATCCTTAGATTTCAGCCTCCTGAGTAACTAGGATTATAAGCATGAGCTATTAGCATTAGTGTAACAATTTTTTTTTTTTTTGCCAGTTCTGGGGCTTGAACTCAGGGCCTGGACACTGTCCCTGAGCTTTATTGCTCAAGGCTATCACTCTACCACTTGAGCCACAACACCACTTCCAGCTTTTTCTATTTATGTGGTACTGAGGAGTTGAACCCAGGGCTTCATGCCTGCTAGGCAAGCGCTCTACCACTAAGCCATATTTCCAACCCTGTAACAATTCTTTAATATCACCTAGTTCCCGTGTATGTTTAGATTTCCCCAGGTTCTCAAAGGTGTAATTTCATAGCTAGTTTCTTCTAATCAGGCTCAATATATTGCATTTCCATAAATTGTTTTGTTCTTTTTGTGTGTGTGTGCCAGTTCTGTGGTTGAATTCAGGGTTTGGGCACTGTTTTTGAGCTTTTGTGCTGAAGGCTATCACTTTACCACTTGAGCCACACAGCTCTACTTCCAGCTTGGGTAGAAAAGTTCAGGAGAACCCCTACCCTCAAAAAACCCAGGTAAATATCAGTCTGGAGACATGTCTCAAGTGGTAGAGCACTAGCAAAGCAAGCATAAGACCCTGAGTTCAAACCCTGGTATGAGGGGAAAAAAGATTACTTTCTAAGTGGATATTGTTGTTACTTACTGTAGCTATTCATTGTCACATTTTTTTTTTTTTAAGTTTTTTACTGGGATTAAATGGTAACATAAATTTCACAAATCTTGCAGTTTTGTGAGATAGTTAAAGTCACAAACACATTTTAACCTTCACAAGGCAAATCGGCATTATCATGGTCTATAATGTTTGTGAATTCTTACACATTTCTTACACATCGGGTGATATGTACATTTCTTTCCTTTTGCTTAGTGTAAGCTGTTCCCTCTTTCCCTCTCATTCCCTCCTTCCTATTGCTGCCCTTGAGTTGCTTAGTTTGTTTTGATCAATGTCCAGTGCAGCTGATGGGCCCCTCTGTTGTATATTTTCCGGTTTCCCTCTGATTCTGTGCCCTCCTCCTAGCTTCCCTTAGATGTCGTCACTTATTCTTGTAAGGAATCATCTTACTGAACTGTTAGTACTTTTTTTGCCAGTCCTGGGGCTTGAACTCAGAGCCTGGGCACTGTCCCTGAGCTTGTTTTGCTCACAGCCAGCACTCTACCACTTGAGCCACAGTGCCATTGCCAGCTTTTTCTGTTTATGTGGTACTGAGGAATCAAACCTAGGGCTTCATGCATGCTAGGCAAACACTCTACTACTAAGCCACATTCCCAGCCCTGTTTACTACTTCTTTTTCTTTTTCTTTTTGTTGGTCACAGGGCTTGAACTTTGGGTCTGGGCGCTGTCCCTGCACTCTTCAGCTCAAGGTGAACACTCTACCACTTGAGCCACAGAGCCACTTCTGGTTTTCTAGTGCTTTATTGGAGATAAGAGTCTCACAGAGTTTCCTGCCCAGGCTGGGTTTGAACCTTGATCCTCAGAGCGCAGCTTTCTGAGTAGCTAGGATTAAGGCGTGAGCTACTGGCACCCTACCCCTGTTACTACTTCTAATAATTTTTTTTGGGGGTCCGGTCGTGGGCCTGAACTCTGGGCCTGGGCGCTGTCCCTCAGCTCTTCAGCTCAAGGCTAGCACTCTACCACTTGAGCCACAGCGCAACTTCCGGCTTTTTGCTTATGTGGTGCTGGGGGATCGAACCCAGGGTCTCATGCATGCAAGGCAAGCACTCTACCACTGAGCCACCTTCCCAGCCCTAATTTTTTATTTTTATGGTTCTCTGATTTTTTTTTTTTTGAAAATAATTATACTACTTCAAAAGTGGCCATTTCCTTCTTTCTTTTAAGTATTTATAAGTTTCATTTCTCTTATTACATTGAAGTGTAGAAAGTACAGTGTTGAGCTTGGTACCAGTGGTTCACCTCTGTAAGCCTCGCTACTCAGGAGAATGTGATTTGAGGATTGAGGTTTGAAGCCAGCTGGAGCAGGAAAGTCTATGAGACTCTTATCTCCAATTAACCATCAGAAAACCAGAAGTGGTACTGTGGGTCAAGTGGTAGAGTGCTAGCCTTGAGCAAAAAGAAGCTCAGAGTCAGCACTTACGCCCTGAGGTTCAAGCCAGGACTGGTGAAAAAAGAGAAAGAACAATGCTGAATAATAATGAGAAATAGAGGAGATTGCAATAATTTTTTTTTTTACTGACTTCAATGAAATTGTTCTTAGTGTTTTGGGATTAAATGGGTCTTTACTAAGTGTGTATTTTTTGTCATTAAATGTGTCTTTTTACAAAAGAATATTTATTATTTTGGGCTATCAATTGGAATGACCTTTTTTTTTCCTTTCACATACTGATATAATGAATCTTTTTTTTTTTTTTTTTGTCTGTCATGGGGCTTGAACTCTGGGCCTGGGCCCAGGTGCTGTCCCTCAGCTCTTCAGCTAGCGCTGTACTACTTGAGCCATAGTGCTGATTTTTCTGCTTATATGTTGCTGAGAAATCGAACCCAGGACCTCATGCATACAAGGCAAGCACTCTACCACTGAGCCACCTTCCCAGCCCCAATATAATGAATCTTTAATTAATTAATTAATTAATTTTGCCAGTCCTGGGGCTTGAACTCAGGGCCTAGGTACTGCTTTCCCTGAGCCTCTCTGTGCTCAAGGCTAGAGTTCTACCACTTGAGCACAGCACCACTTCTGGCTTTTTTCTGTTTTTATGGTACTGAGGAATTGAACCCAGGGCTTCATGCATGCTAGTCAAGCCCTCTACCACTAAGCCACATTCCCGGCCCATAATCAATATTTTAATAGACTCTCCAGAGGGAAGATAGGCAGAAGTGAGAACCAGGTTGTCTTGTGTTTATCATCCTTGCTGAAATTATTAGAGTTGACTGTGGCTGCTTGGTGCTAGATCTTTGTAAACAACCAGTTTTCCATCCTCAGTTTTCTGGCTGGAAATGTGACTGACATCTAATGCTTGATCTTCTCATTATACTGTTTCTTTCTCTTCAGACAAAATGAAAATCAAATGCCGTTTCCAGAAGGCCTATCGGAGAGCTTTGGACTATGAGGAGGAAGCCCTATCATTGAGCAGTGTGCATGGTACTAGAAGCAGTGGTCACACCAATTCAGAAGATGCTTACTTTTTTCCTTCTGATATTAAGTATAGAATTCCATGATGTGGGCTGGGAAGGTGGCTCAGTGGTAGAGTGCTTGCCTTGCATGTATGAGGCCCTCAGTTCCATTCCTCAGCACCACATAAGCAGAAAAAGCCGGAAGGCAGTGTGGCTCAAGTGGTAGAGCCCTAGCTGAAGAGCTAGCTGAAGAGCTGAGGGACAGCACGCAGGCCCAGAGTTCAAGCCCCATGACCGAGAAAAAAAAAAAAAAAAAGAATTTCCATGATATGTCTGTCTTAGCTTGCAAAGCCTTTCTGAGGTGCCTTAAAGTTTTAGCCTGAGGGCTTGAGAGCAGACCTCTGACTTACCTGGCATTTGAGTGTGAATGGAGGAGTGGCCCAAGTACTCTGAGGTGTGTAGCGGAGATGGAATGGTGTTTCACCTTCTCTTTTTTTTTTTTTGTCGGTCGTGGGGCTTGAACTCTGGGCCTGGGCGCTGTCCCTCAGCTCTTCAGCTCAAGGCGAGCGCTCTACCACTTGAACTACAGCGCCACTTCCGGTTTTCTGGTGGTTTATTGGAGATAGGAGTCTCTCGGTCTCTCCTGCCCAGGCTGGCTTTGAACCGAGATCCTCAGATCTCAGCCTCCTGAGTAGCTAGGATTACAGGCGTGAGCCACCAGCGCCCGGCTTCACCTTCTCTTGTCTACAGAGGCAAAAGCCATGTTAGCCGAGCCTCAGGACCAAGCAGAGGGCTCCCTGACTGTGTATGTGATCTCTGAAAACTCTTCACTCCTTCCCCAGGTAAGTAAGCAGAGCAGCTCAGGACCTCCTTTTTATAACAGTGTTGTCTCTGTCTCCTATCTGCTACAGAAAACTCCACATGTCTCTTTGTGTTTGTGTGTGCCAGTCCTGCAGCTTGAACTTAGGGCCTAGGCATTGTCCCTGAGCTTTTTAAAATTTTTTATTTTTTCTTAAGTTTTTTTATTGTGATTAAGTGATTACATAAATTTCGCAAATTTCACAGTATTGTGAGATAGTGATACTTAGTTAAAGTCACAAGCACATTCTAACCTTCATGGGGCAAATTGTCTTTATCGTGGTCTATAAGGTTTGTGAATTCTATGAGCTTTGACGATACAGTTATTTCTTTTCTTTTTTTTTTTTTTGGTCCAGAAGTGGGGCCTGAGCTCTGGGCCTGGGCGCTGGCCTCAGCTCTTCAGCTCAAGGCTAGCGCTCTACCACTTGAGCCATAGCACCACTTCCGGCTTTTTTATTTTCTGCTTATGTGGTGCTGAGGAATCGAACCCAGGGCCTCATGCATGCAAGGCAAGCGCTCTACCACTGAGCCACCTTCCCAGCCCCGGTATAGTTATTTCTAACACATTGGGTGATATGTACATTTCTTTCCTTTTGCTTAGTGTCAGCTGTTCCCTCTTTCCCTCTCATTCCCTCCCTCCCATCGCTTCCATTGAGTTGCTTAGTTGGTTTTGATCAATGTCCAGTGCAGCTGATGGGCCCCTCTGTTGTATTTTTTCCCCTGTTTCCCTCTGTTTCTATGTCTTCCTCTTAGTTTCCCTCTGATGTGCACATATATACCATATATACGGTTAGCAGCATAGGATCATTTAGTAATGCCAGATGAGTGGAGGTCCTATGTTTCTCCAGTTTTGTTTACTTTGTTGCATCTCCTTATGTTTTGGATTTAACATCCACATATCAGGGAGACCATGTGCCGTTTGTCTCTTTACTCTTGGCTTACCTCACTCAACATGATTTTTTCTAGTTCCATTCATTTCCCTGCAAATGCCATTATTTTGTCCTTTCTAATGGCTGAATAATATTCCATTGTACATAGGTATCACAGTCTTTGGATCCATCCATCTGTAGTGGGGCATCTGGGTTGTTGCCATATCCTGGCTATTGTAAACAGTGCTGCAATGAACATGGAAGTGCATGTGTCCTTGTATCCTGGTTCCTGTTTTTCAGGATAGATGCCTATGAGTGGTATGGCTGGGTCATAGAGGAGATCTATATTTAGCTTTCTGAGGACCCTCCAGACTGCTTTCCAAAGTGGTTGTATTAGTGTACATTCCCACTAGCAGTGTAAAAGGGTTCTTCTTTCTCCGCATCCCTTCCAGCATTTCTCGTTGGCTGAATTTAGGATGCGGACCATTCTGACTGGGGTAAGGTGGTAGGTATCTCAGGGTTGTTTTTGTTTGCATTTCCTTTACAACCAGGGATGGTGAACATTTCCCCATGTGTTTCTTTGCCATTTCTATCTCTTCTTCTGAGAAGTCTCTCTTTAGTTCCCTTGCCCATTTAGTAATTGGTTTGTTAGGTTTGGGAGGGATTTGTTTCTTGAGTTCCCTGTATATACTGGATATTATTCCCTTGTCTGATATATTGCTGGTAAATATTTTTTCCCAATTAGTTGGCTGTTTTTCTAGTTTGGATGCTATGTCTTTAGCTGTGCAGAAACTTTTTATTTTAAGGAAGTCCCACTTGTCGAATCTCTCTCCAATTTGTTGTGACCCTGTGTCCCTGAGCTTTTTTGCTCAAGGCTAGCACTCTACCATTTGAGCCACAGCTCTATTTCCTTCCTGCCCAGGGAAGTTTCAAACCATGATCCTCAGATCTCAGCCTCCTGAGTTACTAGATTACAGGTGTGAGCATAGGTTCCCGGCTCCACATATTTTAAAAAAGAATGTCAGTAAAGGTTTATTTATTGACATTGGTTTGGGTCTTACTAAATCCAAGACTTAGCTGGGTGTTGGTGGCTCATGCCTATAATCCTCAGGAGGCTGAGATCTGAAGATCATGGTTCAAAGCCAACCTTGGAAGGAAAGGCCGTGAGACTCTTTATCTGCAATTAACCACCAGAACACTTGGAAGTGGTGCTGTGGCTCAAGTGGTAGAGCACTCACCTCGAGCTGAAGAGCTGAGGGACAGCGCCCAGGCCCAGATTTCAAGCCCTGTGATTGACAAAAAAAGAAAAAAAAATCCAAGACTTATGTGTGGTGAAAGTACCAGTGACCATGTAAAGTAGTGGGAAAAAAAATCAGTAATATTTATAAGAATAACTGAGCTGGGCGTGGTGGCCCTCACCTGTAATCCTTGCACTTAGCTGAGGCAGAAGGTTCAGAAGTTTGTGGCCAGCCTGGACTGCCCAGTGATACCTTGTGACAAACCACCCTTCCACTTGATCATTATCTCCTCATTTCCTCCCCACGCCTCCTCCCAAAGAAGCTGATTTAAATAAGTTTTGATGAGAATACAGATGATACGTTGACCTTTTCATATTAGGAGCAGATTGCTGGGTGGGAGCTAGGCCATCTACCATTTCTCTTTTTAATTTATAATTAAATATTTATTTTTTTAATCATTATTATTAGTGCCAATACAGGGACTTGAACTCAAGGTCTCATGCTCTTATTCAGCTTTTTTGCTCAGAGCTGGTGATCTACTACTTGAACCACTCCTCGGTTGCATTTATTTTGCTGGTTAATTGGAGATGGAATCTGACAGACTATTCAGCCTAGGCTGTCTTTGAAGTGTGATCCTAAGATCTCCAACTTCTGAATACCAAGGATCATAAGCATAAGCCTTTGATACCCAATAAAATATTTAAATTTCATTTAAAAAAAATGAAAGAATCTGAGTCTGGTGGTTTATTCCTGTAATACTACCTAGTTGGGAGTCCAGGCTGAGGAGGATCACCGTTTGTGGTCAGCCTAGCAAAAAGTTAGCAAGACACTACCTCTGTGTTTTTTTTTTTGGGTGGGGGCTGGAGGGGGGAGTGCTAGCTAGTCTTGACACTTGAACTCAGGCCCGCAGTGCTGTCCCTGAGCTTTGTTGGTCAAGATTAGCATTCTACTACGTGAGACACAGCTCCACTTCTGGTTTTTTGGTGGTTCATTGGAGATAAGAGTCTCAGGACTTTCCTACCCTTGCTGGCTTTGATCTTCATTGCTTTTTTTTTTTTTTTGGTTGGTCGTGGGACTTGAACTCGGCCTGGGTGCTGTTCTTGAACTCTTCAGCTCAAGGTTAGCGCTCTACCACTTGACCACTTGAGCCGCAGTGCCACTTCCCGTTTTCTAGTGGTTTATTGAAGATAAGAGTCTCACAGACTTTCCTGCCCAGGCTGGCTTTGAACCATGATCCTCAGATCTCAGCCTTCTTAGTAGCTAGGATTACAGGGATGACCACTGTGGCCTGGCTAAGATACCATCTTAACCAATAAGCCTGATGTAGTAGTAATCCCAGCTAACCTAGAAGTCCAAGGCTAGCCCTGGGCAAAAATTGTGAGACCCTGCCTGAAAACTAACTAGGGGGTAACTCAAGTAATAGTGTGCTTGCTACTGCTGAGGGAAAAAAAATGAAAGAGAATTTTAGTGAATATCTATGTATCCAACCCCATTTTGCAAACTCTAATGTAATAATATATCTGGAACCTGTGATCAACATGATTATACCCTACTCTGTTTAGTACCAGGTGACTGTGTTTTGTCCTTTTCTTTTTCTTTTTCTTTTTCTTTTTTTTTTTTGGTCGGTCATGGGATTTGAATTCTGGGCTTGGGCACTGTCCCTACCCTCTCCAGCTCAAGGCAAGCGCTCTACCACTTGAGCTACAGCGCCACTTCTCGTTTTCTGGTGGTTTACTGGAGATAAGAGTCTCATGGATTGGGGCTGGGAAGGTGGCTCAGTGGTAGAGTGCTTGCCTTGCATGCATGAGGCCCTGGGTTCCATTCCTCAGCACCACATAAGCAAAAAGAAAAAAGCCGGAAGTGGCACTGTGGCTCAAGTGGTAGAGCGCTAGCCTTGAACTGAAGAGCTGAGGGACAGCGCCCAGGCCCAGAGTTCAGGCCCCATGACCGAACCCCCCCCCCCCCCAAAAGAAAAAAAAGAGTCTCATGGAGTTTCCTGCCAGGGCTGGCTTTGAACCATGATCCTCATATCTCAGTCTCCTGAGTAGCTAGGATTATAGGTGTGAGCCACTGACACCCGGCTTTGTCCTTTTCTTTAGAGTTCAATCACATGATTGAATAATGTAGTTAGTTTTTTTTTTTTTTTTTTTTTTTTTTGGTCGGTCATGGAGCCTGAACTCTGGGCCTGGGCACTGTCCCTCAACTCTTCAGCTCAAGGCTAGGGCTCTACCACTGAGCCACAGTTCCACTTTTGTTTTTTTCTGCTTATGTGGTGCTGAGGAATTGAACCCAGGACCTCATACATGCAAGGCAAGCACTCTATCACTTCCAGCCCCTTTATTTAGTTTTGAACTTATATAACTACATAATATATATGTATTGCAGGACATCTATATTTTTCAGCAACTTTAATTTTGCTCAAGATTTATCTTTGAGAGAATCATCTGTGCTGATATGTATAGTTGGATCTCTGTTTCATTGTATGAACATAATTTATCTGTTCTGTTTCTGAAGGGAATTTAGATTACTTAGCTTTTCACTATTTGATTTAATGCTGCTGTGAACGTTCTTGTCCTTGCCTCTTCGCCATGAGTTGCTTTCATAAGTCAGACCTTCCATTTATGTAAATAATTCTGCTGGGAGTTACTTTCATAAGTCAGACCTTCCATTTATGTAAATAATTCTGCTGGGAGTTACTTTCATAAGTCAGACCTTCCATTTATGTAAATAATTCTGCTTTTCTTGCTCAGCATGTCTTCTGTTGGTTTCCAGTTTACCATTTTACCCCCCTAAAATGTAAATGCTGGTTAGACCTGGTCTTTCCCAGTGTCTACTGGGAAAGAAAAGACAATGGAAATATATGAGAGCACTCATATAAGGTTCCAGCTCAGAAATGCTGAGTTAATAGCTCACCATGGATCTAGAGAGTGGGGTAAGCCTTTGGTTAATATCAAAAGGCAAAATTTTCAAATATAGATGTCAGATTGAGGCATAGTATCAGCACTTGGGAGATTGAGAAAAGATGATGGCAAATTTAAGGCCTTCATGGGCTATATAGTGTGACCCTATCGCAACAAAAGTAATCAAAACAGAGAAAACCTAGAGTGCTTTTCTGCTTTTTTTTCACTGTGTCATGGGCATTCTGTCCCTTGCTCACTCCTCACAGGACATGATGAGCTACATTGGGCCTGAGAGGACAGCAGTTGTACGGGGGATAATGCACCACGAGGCTTTTAACATCATTGGCCGTCGTGTGATCCAAGTAGCCCAGGCCATGTCTTTGACTGAGGATGTGCTTGCTGCTGCTCTAGCTGACCATCTTCCAGAGAACAAGTGGAGCTCTGATAACAGGCGGCCTCTCAAGTCCAGCTTGGGTAGGACACTGGGCTTGGCTGTAAAAAGGAAAAGGAAATGAGTTATGTGGAGCAAGAAGGAATCTGCAAACAAAGTCCTTATTACTTTCCTCTCTGATCTCAGCTTTTTCTTTTCCCTTCCCTCCTTCCCTCCTTCCTTCCTTCCCTCCCTCCCTCCTTCCTTCCTTCCTCCTTCCTTCCTTGCTTCTTTCCTTCCTTCCTTTCTTCCTTCCTTCCTGTCTTCTTAAGTCCAACACTCTGCCACTTGAGCTATAAATCCACTTCCAGGTTTTTGGTGGTTAATTGCAGATCTCAGTTTCCTGAGTATGGAGGTATAGGCATAAGCCATGGGTGCCTGGCTCAACCTTTTCTTTTTCTTTTTTGTGCTAGTCCTAAGGCTTGAACTTAAGGTCTGGGCACTGTCTCTGAGTGTTTTTTTTTTGTTTGTTTGTTTTTTTGCCAGTCATGGGGCTTGAACTCTGGACCTGGGGGCTGTCCCTGAGCTCTTCAGCTCAAGGCTAATGCTCTACTACTTGAGCCACAGTGCCACTCCCAGTTTCCTGGTGGTTAATTGGAGATAAGAGTCTCACAAACTTTCCTGCCTGGACTGGCTTTGAACCTTGATCCTCAGATCTCAGTCTCCTGAGTAGCTAGGATTATAGGCATGAGCCACCGGCGCCTGCTCCTTCCAGCTTTTTGTTGGCGAATTGGAGATTAGAGTTTCAGAGACTCTTGCCCTGGCTGGCTTGAACTGTGACTCTTAGATCTCAACTTCCTAAGTAGGATTACAGGTGTGAGCCACCAGTGCCTGGCTTCAACTTTTTCTTAAAAACACTTAGTTTTTTTCATCCCATGTTTATCTTCCCTTTGGTTCTATGATAGTAACCCAATCCTATTCCAGAGGAGAAACAAGTTCATTTTAGGAGGGGGGTAGAGGCTGTCCCTCTTCCTTGATCCATAAAGCTGACTTCACTGACTTCTGTTTCTCTAGGGTATGAGATCACCTTCAGTTTACTCAATCCAGACCCCAAATCCCATGATGTCCACTGGGACATAGAGGGGGCTGTCCAGCGCTATGTGCAGCCCTTCCTGAATGCCCTCAGTGCTGTTGGCAACTTCTCTGTGGACTCCCAGGTGAGATTTTTAGGAAACTTCTCGAAGTTTCTACATACTTAGTGTTAACATAGACCTCTCTTCTACCATCCTTTAGAGCTTGATGATTTGGTAGTACAGGTGTATGCATAAAGGCAGGTACTGACAGAGGCTGACATGGAAAGATGTGTGTGCATATTTGTGTCTGTCCATCTGTCACTGTGGGCTGGTTCTGGTGTCTTTACTTTCCCTTGATGTCCAGCTCAAGGAGTTCTGTCAATGCCTGTTAACATAGCAACTTTGTTATGGCTCCCTTTAGAACTTACTCAGAAGTTGTACCTAGAAGTTAATGCCATCAGTCATCCTAAAGGAATTTATTTAAAAACAAAAGATGGACCAAAAGAACGAACCTCCTGTATCATTACTACATGTGAGTCTGGTAATGATAAAGATGTAAGAATGTAGCTTTCTACCTCTACTTTGGCCAAGGTATATCACTGTGACCAGGTAGGGAAAACACAGGAGAAATTTAGCAAGTCTTGGTAGGGGGAGTGGTTACTTCTGAATAACTGGCTTGATGTGGTTTTGTAGCCAATGACTTACGTGACTGTTTGCCTCTTTGTTAGGAAACCTGGTAAAAATGGATGTTTTTCAAGCATGTAAAGCATTTAATTATTTTATTTCATATTCCTGTTTCTCTTAGCTCTGATTTTAAGAAAGTTTTTATTTGTTTATTTATTTATGTGCTTATGTATTTATTTATTGGTATCAGTCCTGGAGCCTGAATTCAGAGTCTGGGCACTGTCCTTGAGTTGTTTGTTTGTTTTTTCCTCAAGGCTAGTGTTCTATCACAGAGCCACAGCTCTGCTTCTGGCTTTTTTTGGTCGTTAATTAGAGATAAGATTCTTACAGAACTGCATGCTGGTGGTTCACACCTGTCCTTGGTTGTGTCTTTTTTTTTTTTTTTTTGTATCTTCGCCTTTTTATTAGCATACATTAGTAGTACAAAGGAGGATTCATAGTGAGACATTTCTACACATGTAAACCATGTATCCCCATCAACCTCACCCCCCTCTGAGATCACTCTCCTCTATCTCACTTTCCTTCTTAAACAATTTTAATAGATCTTATTGTTCTCTTTTCATAATGCAAATAAACTACATAGGCCATATTCATCCTTATTCAACATCTTCATTAGCGCTCCCTACCCCCAGTAGGGTCCCTCTCCATCAGAGTCTGTTTTACTTGCTGATATTCGTGTGTGTGTGTGTGTGTGTGTGTGTGTGTGTGTGTGTGTGTGTGTGTGTGTGTGTGTGTGTTCGTTCCTGGGGCTTGAACTCAGGACCTGGGCACTGTACCTGACCTTTTGTGCTCAAGGCTAGCTGATATTCGTGTGTGTGTGTGTGTGTGTGTGTGTGTGTGTGTGTGTGTGTGTGTGTGTGTGTGTGTGTGTGTTCCTGGGGCTTGAACTCAGGACTTGGGCACTGTACCTGACCTTTTGTGCTCAAGGCTAGTGTCCTACCACTTGAATCACTTGAGCTATTGCTCAATTTCCAGCTTTTTTTGGAGATAAGAGTCTCATGAAATTTCCTGCCCAGGCTGACTTTGAACCTCCATTCTAAGATCTCAGCCTCCTGAGTATTAAGGATTATGGCATGAGCCATAATCTGGTACCTGGTACCAGATTATTATCTGACTTTTTTTTTAAGTGTTGGTTAATTAAGGGGATTCATTCAGGTGTTTTTAGATATGCTGTATTATGTTTTACTCAGAATAATCTCTGCTTTCCGGCCCTTCCAGTACCTTATTGCTTATATATAATATAATATGTATACATATATATATATATATTTTTTTTTTTTTTTTGTCAGTCATGGGGCTTGAACTCTGGGCCTGGGCACTGTCCTTGTGCTCTTCAGCTCAAGGTGAGCGCTCTACCGCTTGAGCCATAGCGCCACTTCGGGTTTTCGAGTGGTTTATTGGAGATAAGAGTCTCACGGAGTTTCCTGCCTAGGCTGGCTTTGAACCGCAATCCTCAGATCTCAGCCTTCTGAGTAGCTAGGATTACAGGCTTGAGCCACCAGTGCCCGGCTGCTTATATATTTTTAAGGCACTCCAAATCTTTTTTGGGAGAAAATAGATTGAAAATCAATATTAAAAGTCACATCTTCTCTTTTTGCTCCACAGATCCTTTACTATGCCGTGTTGGGGGTAAACCCTCGCTTTGACCCAGCCTCATCCAGCTACTACTTGGGCATAAATAGCCTCCCCCATGTGATTAACCCTGTAGAGTCCCGTCTGGGTGAGCTCCTGATGACAAATATCTGTTTTCCAGGCCAGGGAGACTCAGGAAGGCACAGCTTGGGATTGAAGGAGTTTTGTTTATTGTGATGCTTCTCAGTCTAGGTCCATATGAGGGGAGTAGAGAAATTTAGGCTCCTTTTTTTTTTCTTTGTCTGTACATGATCATCCTGGGCTTGAACTCAGGACCTGGGCATTGTCCCTGAGCTTTTGTGCTCAAGGCTAATACTCTACCACTTGAGCCATAGCTCTACTTTTGGCTTTTTGGTGGTTAATTGGAGATGAGTCTCATGGACTGTCCTGCATGGGTTGGCTTTGAATCTGTCCTCAGATCTTAGCCTCCTGAGTAGCTAGGATTACCGGTGTGAGCTACTGGCACCTGGCTAAGCTCCTTTTTTGTAACATTCTGATGACATCTCCATGTTCACACCTGTCTTATTAAAAAATCATCCAAGCATTTCTTAGTGAATGACTAGGCTAGGTCTTCTTTAAAAGCTTTTTAGGAAAGATACAGGCACATGTAAGAAAGGCAGTTGAAGCACATGAAGGTAGAATTTGAATGGATGGTTCTGCTGATTGAAGTGGAAGAACTCACAGCTATGATTTATGATCTTTCAATTTTGAGGGTGGACTCTAGGAAGAGTGGTCATGGCCAGTAACTATAATTCAAGTAAACTAATCTAAATTTGAGTACATCACAGTTAGTGATGTACTCAGGCACTGGAGGGCCCAGTGTGGATCAGGTGTGATGGGAGGAGTAGCTTTGGTGGGTGAGGCATCAGCAAACTCCTCTATTCCTTTTTTTTTTTTTTTGCATTACTGGGGCTTGAACTCAGGGCCTTTCACTCACTCAGCTATCACTTTACCAATTGAGTTTGGTCTCTAGCCCTGCTTTTTGCTGTTTTTTTTTGGGAAAGAATCTCATGATGTTGGCCAAAGTCTTGTGAATTTTTCTGCTAGAGCTGGCTTTCACTTATGACTCAGCCTCCTGAGTTGCTAATAGTTGTGAGCCACCAGTAGTTAGCCTCTATTCATTCTTTTTCTTTTTCTTTTGGTGCTGGGATTTGAACTCAGGGCTTCTCATTTGTAGGCACTGTACTGCGTGAGCCACAAATCTAGCCTTTTTTTTTTTTGGGTCCGGTTGTGGGGGGGCCTGAACTCTAGGCCTGGGCGTTGTCCCTCAGCTCTTCAGCTCAAGGCTAGTACTCTACCACTTGAGCCACAGCGCCACTTCCAGCTTTTTCTTTTTGCTTATGTGGTGCTGAGGAATGGAACCCCTTGCCTCTGGCATGCAAGGCAAGCGCTCTACCACTGAGCCACCTTCTCAGCCCCAAATCTAGCCTTTTTGTGCCATTCCTGGGGCTTAAACTGAAGGGCCTGGGTGCTGTCCTGAGCTTTTTTGCTCAAGGCTAGCACTCTACCACTTTTACCTTTTTGGTAGTTAATTGGAGCTAAGAGTCTCACAGACTTTCCTGCCTGGGCTGGTTTTGAACCGTGATCCTCAGATCTCAGCCTCCTGAGTAGCTAGGATTACAGGTGTGAGCCATTAGCATAGGCTTTCCATTCATTTGACAAACAACAGCTGAGGGTCTGCTTTGTAGCAATGCTGAATACAAAGACCCAAAGGCAATTTGGGCAAAGGGAGCTATACACTTAGATGTGGAAGTGTAAGAACATAGACATTTAGGGAGCTCAGTGCAGTCCTGTGGCTAGAGTATGAGTGAGTGACCAAAGATGAGGTTGGCAAGGCAGAAAGACACTAGATCTTAAGGATTATATAGGCTAAGTGTGGTGGCTCACACCTATAATTCCAGCTACTTGGGAGAATTGCAGTTCAAGACCAGCCCAGGCAAAAGTTAATGAGACCCACTCCCCATCTCAATAATTCAGGCACAGTAGGCATGTATAGTTATATTTATGTGGGTAGTTACAGCCAGGCTGTAGATAGGAGGATTGTGATCCAGGCAGGCCTGGGAAAAACTGCAAGACCTGAAATTGAAAGCAGAAAAGGACTAGAGTATAGCTCCATTAGTAGAGCACCTGTCTAGCAAGCATGAGGCCCTAAGTTCAGAACCACAATAACAACAACAACAAAATCGTGTTAAAGAGTTTGCACTTTGGGCTGGAAATGTGGCTTAATGGTAGATTGTTTGCCTCGCATGCATGAAACCCTGGGTTCAATTTCTCAGTACACATACACAGAAAAAGCTGGAAATGGTGCTGTGGCTCAAGTGGTAGAGTGCTAGGCTTGAGCAAAAGAGGCTCAAGGATAGTGCCCAGGTCCTGAGTTCAAGCCCCTGCACTGGCAAAAAAAAAAAAAACAAAAAAACTTTAACATGATATTAAGTTATTGAAGGAGGAGGAAATTGACCTGAAGTCAGATTTGCACTTGTGCATAAAACTAGTGATTATAAGGGAGTGCCTTGTGGCAGTGGCTGAAGGAACTGTCTTAGCCTGCTAAGGAGGGACTTTTCAACAGGAGAAAACTCCAGGGGTGCTCTAGAGCTAAGTTCTGGGCTCCATCTATGTAGCATATCTTGGGAGAAATTCAGAGGTCTTTAACTAGAAGATATCCTAGTAATGATCAATAGGAGAAGCTGAGCCCCAGCATGGGTGGACAGTAGATTAGAGACCTAGAGTTAAGATTGAGTTCTAACATACTTTGATATCCTAACTTTGCTTCTCTTTGTACCACAGGATCCAGTGCTGCCTCCTTGTATCCTGTGCTCAACTTCCTACTCTATGTGCCTGAGCTGGTCCACTCCCCGCTATACATTCAGAACAAAAATGGGGTTCCAATGCCTACAAACGCCTTCCACAGTCCCCGCTGGGGTGGCATTATGGTAATAGTCATACTTAGCAGGTCTGGAGGCTGAGTTTCAAGGATAGACATATTTTCCTGAAACTATTCCTACAGCTTTTCTCCTGAGTTGGGAAGGGGCAGGTATTCTCTGTGGTCCAGCCTAGGGACCTGGGGTCAGGCCCTAATGGGCTAAGAGTGTGTTCTGTGCCCTTCCTCTGCTAACCCTTATCTTCTTTTCTTTAGTGTTTTTGGTGTTGACTTTTTTTTTTTTGGGGGGGGGTGGTGCCTGTACTGGGGCTTGAACTCAGAGCCTGGGTGCTGTCCTTTAACTTTTTCACTCAAGGCTGGCACTCTACCACTTGAACCAGAGCTCTACTTGTGATTTTTTTAGTGTTAATTGGAGATAAAAGTCTCATAGAGTTTCCTGCCTGGGCTGGCTTTGAACTTCAATCCTCAGATTTTAGCCTCCTGACTAGCTAGGATTACAGGCATGAGCCATTGGTGCCCAACTTGTGTTGTGACCCTTTTATGCTTACCAGTTTGCACTTAGGCCAGCCCATAGCACCATCTTAGTTCCATGGAAATCTTGAAAGGTTAGGAACTCTCTCTCCCCTGTTAGACCAAAGCTTCTCATAGTGTGGGAACTATGTAATAGTTTGTTTATTTGTTTATTTATTTATTTATTTACTTATTGTGAGCCATGGGGCTTGAACTCTGGGCCTGGGTGCTGTCCCTCAGCTCTTCAGCTCAAGGCTAGCGCTGTGCCTCTTGAGCCACGGTGCCACTTCCGGTTTTCTGAGTAGTTTATTGGAGATAAGAGTCTCACCGATTTTCCTGCTGGGGCTGGCTTTGAACCTTGATCCTCAGATCTCAGCCTCCTGAGTAGCTAGGATTACAGACGTGAGCCACCGGCCCTTGGCTAATAGTATTATTTTTTTGTTTTTGTTTTTGTTTTTTTTGGGTCCAGTCATGGGGCCTGAACTCTGGGCCTGGGCACTGTCCCTCAGCTCTTCAGCTCAAGGCTAGGGCTCTACCACTTGAGCCACAGTGCCACTTCCGGCTTTTTTCTTTTTGCTTATGTGGTGCTGAGGAATCGAACCCAGGGCCTCTGGCATGCAAGGCATGTGCTCTACCACTGAGCCACCTTCCCAGCCCCTAGTATTATTTTTTTTTTTAAAGCCTTTTTTATTTGTTTTGTTTTGTTGGTCCTGGAGCTTAAACTCAGGGCCAGGGCTCTGACCCTGAGCCTCTCTGTGCTCAAGGCTAGCACTCTACTGCTTGAGCCATTGCACCACTTCCAGCTTTTTCTGTTTATGTGGTACTGAGGAATCAAATCCAGGGCTCCATGCATGTTAGGCAAGTACTCTACCACTAAGCCACATTCTCAGCCCAACCTTTTTATTTTCACAGAATTTTAAAAGCTTAACTGAGATAATTTACTGAAAGGACCTCATAGTAGGTACTTAAGAAAAGATTAGCAGCCAAGTGCTGCTTGTTAATGCCTGTAATCCTAGCTACTCAGGAGGCTGAGATCTAAGGATCGTAGCTCAAAGCCAGCTAAGGCAGGAAAGTCTGTGAGACTCTTCTCTCTAATTAACTACCAAAAAGCTAGAAATGGAGCTGTGGCTCACAGTGGTAGAGCACTAGCCTTGAGCATAAAAGCTTAGGGACAGTGTCTGGGCCCTGAGTTCAAGTCTCAGGACTGGCACCAAAAAAACTCAAAACCAGTTATCTAGCAATGCTGTTGGTTTGTTGCTTCTAAGACCGGAAGACAACTTCTTTTCTCTCATTATCCTCAGCATGCTAAGGGCAGAGCAGTGCATGGTCTGGTGTGATAGTGTGGCAAACTGCATTTTCCCCTCTTTTCAGGTATATAATGTTGACCCCCAAACCTATAATGCCTCTGAGCTGCCAGTGAGAGTGGAGGTGGACATGGTGCAAGTGATGGAAGTGTTCCTGGCTCAGTTGCGGTGAGGCCTTGGGTGATCCACGTGGGGATGGCCATGGAAAGTGTGGCTGTAGTCTCTGCTCTCAAAAGTAAAAGAGGAGAATGAAATCGCACTTGGTGGGGAGAGAGCCCCAGACAAGCCAAAAAAAGGTTCCCAAAGATGGCTTCGAAGGAAAAGCAGCTAACAAAATCTTGTTTTCAGAAAAATAGACTTCCTGGAAGTGAGGTATCCAGGTGTGATTAGGACACTTCAGAAAACAGCTGAAACTGAGGGCTGAAAGCTCACAACCGTAATCCTATTCAGAAGGCCTCAGCCTTCTTAGGATACTGGTTTGAAGCCAGCATAGGCAGAAAAGTCTGTGAGACTCTCGTGTGTATGTGTGTGAGTGAGCTGATCCTGGAGGAGCTTGATCTCGGGCCTGGGTACTGTCCCTGAGCTATTACTTTTATTTTTGGGGGTGCTTAAGGCTAGTGGTCTACCACTTGAGCTACAGCTCCATTTCCTGAATTTTGGTGGTTAATTGGAGATAAGAGTCTCAGACTTTGCTGCCTGGGCTGGCTTTAAACCATGATACTCAGATCTTAGCCTCCTGACTAGCTAGGATTATAGGCTTGAGCCATCAGTAGCCAGCTATGAGATTCTCCTCTACAGTTTACCACCAAAAAAAAGTCAAAAGTGGAGGTATGGCTTAAGTGGTAGTAGAGCACCATTCTTGAATAGAAAAAAAAACTAAGGGACAGTGCCCAAGTGTCAAGTTCAATCTCTAGTACCAGCTCCAAGAAAACAAAACAAAACAAAAAAAACAAAACCCAAAGCCCAAAGCAGCTGTTGACTTCTGCTAACTGACTGGTTGAGTGTGGCTGCCTGAAGCTCTGTGATGAGGATTCTAAGACCGTGTCTGGATCGTCAGGATAGAGTATTGTGATGATTATCAATGTCTGTCATGGGTGCAGCCTTAGACAAGCACAGCACACATACAAAGGTGGTCCTGGATCATCCTTTAAGTCTTTTTGACCCCACGTATCTAAAGAGAGGCTGGAGAGAAAAGGGATTGAACTAAGTTGATATTATCCGAAATATTTTAGCTATAGATGCTTTTTCAAGCAAGGCCTTGGAATTCTTTTTTTTTTTTTTGGGTCAGGTCGTGGGGCCTGAACTCTGGGCCTGGGCGCTGTCCCTCAGCTCTTCAGCTCAAGGCTAGGGCTCTACCACTTGAGCCACAGCGCCACTTCCGGCTTTTTTCTTTTTGCGTATGTGGTGCTGAGGAATCGAACCCAGGGCCTTGAGCATGCAAGGCAAGCACTCTACCACTGAGCCACCTTCCCAGCCCCCAAGGCCTTGGAATTCTAACAAGTGAAAACAGTAACACTGGTTGAAATGTGGTTTGGGGTTTCTGGATTACTAGGGTTGCTGCTTATCTACCATGAGTCCTATGGTTTTGGTAAGACTGAAAATCATTAGCTTAGAGTAGATTTTCTAGGAATCTTAAGCCATTGTCTCCCATATTCTGGTCACAGCAACTTTTGCTCTCTCTTGGCTGTGCCTACAGGCTGCTCTTTGGGATTGCTCAGCCCAAGGTGCCTCCAAAATGTCTTCTTTCAGAGTTTAAGAGTGAAGGACTAATGACTTGGGAGCTCGACCGGCTGCTCTGGGCTCGGTCAGTGGAGAATCTGGCCACAGCCACCACCACCCTCACCTCCTTGGCTCAGCTTCTGGGCAAGATCAGCAACATTGTCATCAAGGATGATGTGGCGTCTGAGGTGAGTGGGTAGAGGGAGGATGGATTCAGTGGCCTAGAATTAAAGTAGTCGGAGAGGACCAGGGTGAGTATAGGCGTGCTGTCCTTAAATGCTTTGGCCTTCCTTAAGGTATACTTACTGAGTTCCCCAGCAAGGGTCTACACGAGAGGGAATGAAGGTGCTAAGCTGACCCTCAGAAAGTGAACCACAGCCCTTATTAGACCCATTGACTTCCATATATTCTGGGTGGACTCCAGGCAATCCCCCCTGCTAGATTGAAGGCATAGTAAAGTACAGTGCCTTCCCCACAGATGTATTGGATATATTAATGATTCCCTTCCCCTCCCTTTCCTAGGTGTATAAGGCTGTGGCTGCAGTCCAGAAGGCAGCAGAGGAGTTGGCCTCTGGGCACTTGTCATCTGCCTTTGTCGCCAGCCAAGAAGCAGTGACATCCTCTGAATGTGCCTTTTTTGATCCTTCACTCCTCCACCTCCTCTATTTCCCTGATGACCAGAAATTTGCCATCTACATCCCACTCTTCTTACCTATGGCTGTGCCCATCCTCCTGTCACTGGTCAAGATATTCCTGGAGACCCGGAAGTCCTGGAAAAAGCCTGAGAAGATAGACTGAGAGGGAAGCATCTTAGTAGAAAGCCTTCCTTTCTGGCCAGTGTGGGAGGTGGTGGGTTGAGAAGCATCTCAGTGAAGCCTGATGGGGATGACTTTCTCCAGTCTCCTCTGTTGGTTCTCTGACAACACTCCAACATGGGCTCATCCTTCTTCCCTTTGCTCAGGTTCTGGTCCTCTACTATCACTTCCAGAAGTCTCAAGACATCTGGGAGCTGGGTGCTGGTGGCTCATGCCTATACTCTAACTACTTAGGAAGCTGAGCTCTGAGGATTATGGTTCAAAGCCAGCCAGAGCATGAGTCTGTGAGACTCTTATCTCCAATTAACCACCAAGAAGGCCAGAAAGGGAGTTGTGGCCCAAGAGGTAGAGTGTTAGTCTTAAGCAAAAAAACTCAGGACAGTGCCCTGGCCTATGAGTTCAAGCCCCAGGACTGGCACCAAAACAAAACAAAAAGTTATCTGGTTCTCCATATCTGGCTTGAACTTGCAGGCTCCTGGGAATCTCCCTCTGGAGTAGTGGAGTAGTGGTAGTCTCTCTTAGCATAGTTCACTTTTTTTTTGGGGGGTGGTGGTGTCTTCAACTAAAGTCCTGCTTCTGTCTTTAGCTTTTTCACTCAAGGCTAGTGTTTCCAGTGCCACTTGAACCATAGATTCACTTCTTTTTGCTGATTAATTGGAGAGAAGAGACTTGCTGGTTTGTCTGTTCAAGCTGATTTCAAACCTCCATTCTCAGGTCTCAGCCTCTTGAGTAGCTAGGATTACAGGTGTGAGCAACTGCCCATCTAGCATAGTATACTCTTGCCACCAAGACAGCATTAGAGGAAAGCCCTCGGTTAGATTGGAATCCCCACTGCTCCCCATTCCTCTAACCTTTAGGAAAGGAAAGCCCCTCTAACATTCTCCCTTATTCTCTTCCCTTCTGGCTGGCTTTACCTGTCAGTTATAGCCTGAGTCTAGGAGGCAACAGCTCAGGACCTGGTGCTGTGTATGGCAGAGATTGCCTTTACCCTGCAGAGAAGCAGTGTGATACCAAGGGGAAAGTTCCTGACTTGGAATTTAACAGTCCTGAATTCAAACCCTTGCTTTTGCACTGGGGAGTATTGGATAAACCACTTACTGTCTCTGAGCCTTAGCTTTTCATTTGTTCATTGCACTGATGATGCCTCCTTCATAAGGTGGTTGTGAGGATTAAATGTGATAACCATGTGAAGTGTCTAGCATGCTAGGCTCTTTATATGTATATTGGGTTTTTAATAAACATTGGCTGAATATGAATTGAAGTGATATGCAGTAAGCGCATAACTTTTCATTCATTCATGTGTAAGTAATAACTGGTATCTGTCCTGTGCTCACTGGACCACTATGTTCCATATGACCATATGTCATTCCTGTCTCAGTGTCCAGCAGGGCCCTGGCATGACCACATTCCTGGACTGCAGTCTCTACTTGTCTTGGATTGTCTAAGGCTGTTAGCATCTGCTTCTTTTATATACCCATCTGTTTTTATTTTTATGCGGGTACTGGGCTTGAACTCATTGCCTTGTGCTCTCAGCTTGTGTGTGTGTGTGCTAGTCCTGCCACTTGAACTCAGCCTGAGCACTGTCCCTGAGATTTTCTGCTCAAGGCTACTACTCTACCACTTGGGCCACAACTCCACTTCCAGCTTTATCATAGTTAATTGAAGATTAGAGTCTCAAGAGTCTCATAGACTTTCTCACCAACTGATTTCATTCAGCTTTCTTGATCATATGAGGCTGATGCTCTACCATTGAAGCCATCCTTGTCTGGTGTTTGTTGATTTTTGGCAATAGAATCTTGTAGGCTTTTCTTCTCCAGCTGACTTTGAACCTTGACCCTCAGATCTCATCTTCCTAATTAGGATTATAGGCATGAGACGTAGCAAGCCATGGGCTGGCTTCTGCTTTTCAGCAGGGGTTATTGGAGAGAATGGTTTATGCTGGTGAAAGCTCTAATACTAATTCTAATACTAATTCATTCAGCTAAAAAAAATGTTTTGAGTACTTGCTGCTGGGAGCAGTTGGGGTGTTTAAAAGTGTTGAGGTATTAAGAGAATAGAGCTGATCTTTCAGGGAGAAGAATCAGCGGGCAAATTAAAATTTGCACGGTGTATTAGAAAGTCTAGACAGACTGAGGGAAAGTACTTCAGACTTGGTGGGTGTTGAGGGGAGGGACTTTGAGCAGATCAGACCTGCCCAGACCTGAAGAGGCATCAGGGGAAGGAGTTCCCAATGAACGCCTATGAGGCTAAAAGCCCCGTGAGATTAGAGAAGAGGTAGTCAGGTCCTTCTTTTTTACCAAAAGAAATGGGAAGGAGGTGAAGGCAACTCCCGGACTTGAGGGATTTCTGTAGGTTTGGGCCCGCGGCGGGTGTGGTCACGGCTGGGCCCGCCCACGGGGCGGGGCAGCACCTGGGGCCCGGCGGGGGGGCGGGGCCGCGGACGCTCCGCGTCTCCGCGTTCCAGCCGGCGCAGGCAGCAGCCAGGCAGCTGGCGAGCGGCGGCCCCGCGAGGCCATGAAGGTGAAGAAGGGCGGCGGCGGGGCCGGGACAGGGGCGGAGCCCGCTCCAGAGGCCTCAGGCCCGAGCGTGCAGCCCACGCCGGAGCCGCGAGTGCAATCGGAATCTGGGTCCGAGTCGGAACCGGAGGCCGGCCCGGGGCCCAGGCCGGGGCCGTTGCAGGGAAAGCAGCCCATCGGGCCTGAGGACGTGCTGGGGCTGCAGCGGATCACGGGCGGTGAGCACCAACCAGGGAGCGCCGCCCGCGGGTCGGAGGGGAGACTGCGGGAGGGGCCCTCCGCGGAGCCCGGGCCCCCGCCCCCTTTCCCGCCCTCCCCTCCCCCACCCGGCCACCCGCCCGAGTCCCCTACTCTGTTCTCTCTTCTGCCTCCAAGCCTGAGATCTGTAAGCCGCCCCTTCTCTTGATCTCCCCGCGCACCTCCCATCCCTGAGGAGGTTTCCTTCCACCCCACTCTTTCCTTTTTGAGGGCCCACCCCTTTTCCCATGGTGGAGGTGGGGGCAGCAGCTCTAGCCCTTTCCCAGTTGAGTCTTTCCAGCCTTTTTGAGGCCCACACACTAATGAGGAGGGGGGCTGAGTGCAGCATACCTTCAGCATCCGCCCTGAAGCGTTAAGACCCTCAGGTGTCCCTACTGGTGCCCTGGCCCTGAGCTCCCCAGGAGGACTGGGATCATCCTCCCCAGCAACGGAATGGAGCCAGGACGCTTCAGGATGTTGGCTGTGGACTCTGGGAGTGAGTTAATGTCCCCCAAGCCTGGCCCTCTTTGGGGGTTCTCTTATCGAGGGAAATCTGATAAGACCCACTGTGGTTGGGTTTCTGAGCTGCACTGCCTGAGTTGGTGGTCCAGCTCTGCCACATCCTTGACTGTGTGACCTTGGGCATGTAACGGTCTCTGAGCATGTTTCTTCATCTGTAAAATGGAGATAGTGCCACCTCCGCCATAACGTTACTGTGAAAATAAAGTAAATCTCAGATTTTGTAGTGCCTGGCATGTTGTACATGCTCTGTGAAGAGAACTCTTGTATCAGTAGTATGAAGGTATGCTGCCCAGAAGCAGACAACTGGGCATTCAGGGTAGAGACAGGGCTCACCTACCATAGATAAGGAACAAGGGCTGAGATGCCCTATGGCACATGTTAACAGGACCTGGCACAGTGAGAGATATTTGGAGAGACAGTAATCTTCCACCTTGGTGTGGTTCATCAGCAACCTGTCCTTGCTCCCTTTGTGAGAGCAACCATTGGGGCCCCTGCCTAGGGATGGAAATCTGCACTGGGGTGGCCCAGAGCCCTGGAGCTATAGGAGCAGCTGAGCCTAGGGCTTTCAGACAGTTCTGTGGAGGGGACTAGGATAGCAGGCCTGAACTTGTGTATATGGGTCCCTGGGGCCCCCCCTTCCTCCTGTCTGAGCTAGGCAGCAGCCATTCCTGGCTGGGCCCCCAGAGTGCTGTGCAGACATAGGTGCAGGGAGGTGGCCAATTGGGCTGTAATTTGCAACAGTAGCACTTAGGATTCAGCTTCTCTCTGGGACTGGAGGTCAGGATGGACCTGTGTGGGTCCTGGGTAGCTAACTTGAGGGGTTTATTTTGTCAAGAAGGAGGCTTCCAGGTGAAGCTACAGCATGTGTCTCTTAATTTGGAGGAAACTCAGCGTCTGTAGGGGATGGGTAAGGGAAAGGGTTTTACAGGAGTCCTTTCTGTGCAGGATTTGAGAAAAGGCTCCCCACCCCCAGCAGCCATAATCACTTGGGCCTGAGGTTTGCTGTTCCTGGATTACCAGGTCCTAAATCCAGCTTAGGAAGCTATTTGTGGCTATGTTCTAAGCACTCATCCACTCTGCCCCTTACTGTGGCCTGACCTTGGGGTCTAGGCCTCATGCTCCTCTGGTGGAAGGGGTGGGATTGGCTGTGATGTTGTGAGCCCCAAGCAGGCCCTCTTAGAACTGAGGGATTGACTGACTTGCCTTAGGCAAGAAGCTGTTTCCAGTAAGAGGATAGGCTCCCAAAGGTGGGAATGAGAGAGGGGAGGGTCTTACAGAGCCAACCCTGCCCCTTCCTCTTCCAAGCCCTACAGTTCTAGGTTTGGACCACTATTTATTTTAAGTGAAAAGAAGTTATGTACAGGGTGAGGTTGGGGTTGCACACTTCCAGCTTAACTCCTTTCTCCTCTAGGAGCCGTGGTAGACAGGCTAGGACTCAGGACCCGTTCCAAGCCTTATTTAGATTCTGCCCCAAGGTACCAGAGGGCTGTTAGGGGGGCTTCCTGGAGGAAGCACCAGGCTTGAGGATGAGGTTAGCCTGAGGAAGAGAAAAGAGAGTAACTATATTCACTTCCTCTTCCTACCACAGAGGAATTGGAGGTGGCTCAGGGGCCTGGTAGATAACTTCTGGGGCTCTTTAGGTCACCAGGAGAGGATGTGATCTCATATAGGCTGACAGCACTGGGGAGCCTCCTACTGTCCTCTTCATCTCCTTACTTCACACCAGGGCCTCCTTGAGCATTTGCAACTTCTTTTTGAGCAACTCATAGTTGCTTCT